GAGGTTCAGCCCAAGGTTATACCATTAGGAATCCAGGGCTCTCTGACTCTGAAGTACAAGTCTGACTCTCACTTCCACATGCGTTTAAAAAATACCTACTGTACACAGTAGCATGAAGATCAGTCCTCATCAGACAAGTAAGGAGAATGGCCACAGTGGCAGTTCAATCACAAATTATCTCCTTTCTTTCTCTGTGTCAGGCCCTGCTTCGGGACTGCCTGGCCCAGTGGGCACAAAAACAGGAACACCAATAGTCATTCAAGCAGCTGTGGGCCCTGGGAGCACAAAGGAGGGAGTACCCACGGCCCAACAGAGCCACAGAGGATGGCATTGAGGCAGAGCCTTGGAGGAGGAATGGAGATTCCTCTTTGAGGAAGTGGGAACACAGAAGCAAAGACTCGGAGGTGTGGCCGGCACAGGGAATCGTAAACAGTTTGGAGAGGCATGGTTGAGATAGTGGATGGGGGGGCGTGGGGAAAGGGGTATGACCACTACCAAGTCCTGGCCTGATCGGAGGCACTGAGGATTTTTAAGCAGAGAGAGAATAGGATTGGAAGTGGTTTCATCTCTGCAGAGGGCCTGGCTGGTGGTTGAACTGGGAGTCATAATGGGACTTCCCCTCAGGTCTCCCTGGCGTCCCTCTTCTGAGCTGGCTTCGGGTACCCCCTCCCCCCCCATCCTTTCCTACTCACCCATGGATCAGAATTGTCCCTGAGGGCTTCTTCCTCGGCCATCGCTAAGCTGGGGGGAGCTATGTGGGCCTCTCCCAACACTAATCATCTCAGCCTATAAATAGGACTCAGGATTAGTCTGAAATAGCTGTGCCAAGCCAACTCCACAGGCATCACAGGCACGCACCGTTCCGGAAATGGTTCTTCTCCTCAACACAATTAAAACTCAACACTTCCTCAGGAAACTATTGTTCACACTTTGCTTTGCTTCCTTAAGCACAAGGCAGTCGATTTTGGGGGAAGAAAGCCTGTCTACTGCTGATCAGTGAGGGTGTGCCTTGTGGGAAGGAGGCCCCTTTCCTGCTTTTCCCCCTCTGAAGACACTGGGGGAGCCACTACCACTCTCTGGACATCAGTTTCCCCAAATGTAAACTAGGGAGGTGGGACATAATGCCATTTTTAATTTATCAGCATTTTAAAAATTAGAATGGTAATAAATGTGAGCAGGGAGAAATGAAGAGGTTCAGGGCCTGCCACTGAAAGGCTCGGTGACCATGGATGGCCACTATTCCTCTCTGCGCTCCAGATTCTTAGCTGTAAAATGAAGATGCTGGGGGATGATGTCCAAGGTCTACAATTTAAATTTTTTTTTTTTTTTAGACAGAGTCTTGCTCTGTTGCCCAGGCTGGAGTGCAGTGGAGTGATCTCGGCTCATTGTAACCTCCGCCTCTCAGGTTCAAGCAATTCTCCTTCCTCAGCCTCCCAAGTAGCTGGGACTATAGGCCCATGCCAACATACCCGGCTAATTTTTTGTATTTTTAGTAGAGACAGGGTTTCACCGCATTGGCTAGGATGGTCTCGATCTCCTGACCTCGTGATCTGCCCACCTTGGCCTCCCGAAGTGCTGGGATTACAGGCATGAGGCACTGTGCCCAGCCTTAACTTCATTTTTTTGTTCAGTCTTTGTAAGAAGCCAGCCAGCTGGCCATGCTATGCCAGCCTGTGCTGATGCTGGGGATAAAGGGACAAATAAAACCCACTCCAGCCCTCTGTGTGCCCAGAGGCTTCCTTTGGGGCTGCTGGGAACATCTTATTTCTAGTTGAGAATTCAGATTTATGTTCAAGAAGGACTCCCCAAGGGGCAGATTACAACATGGACTGGGCCATCACAATTGACAAAGACACAAAGCTAACACAGCCATCGTTACACACCACACACGTGCTAAGGACTTGATTTCCCCACTGTTCAATCATCACCAACTCTATTATCACCCCCATTTCACAGATCTAAAAACTGAGGCTGAGAGGAATAAGGGACTTGTCCAAGGGCACAGAACAAGTCAGGGCTAGAGTGATGTTTCAGGCTCAGACCCGTTTGCCTCTGGGTTTAACACACCCGAGTGCTGCTGTGAAAAGGGCTCTGGACACCTCAGGCTGGCCAGCCAATGCAGGGCTAACCAACAGGGACATGGAACAGAAAGGGGCATCGAGGATGTTGCTGTGTGTGTGCAGTCGGGGACGCGATGAGGCTTCACAATGGTACTCATTCATTCCAACCAGATCCCAGTGCTGCCCTCCTCTGATCCACCCTCCCTCTGCCTGCCATGCACTGATTGTTTTGAAATCCCATGGATCAAGTCACTCCTCAGCCGAAGACCTATCCGTGGCTCCCTGGTACCCAGAGGATGGAAACCCAGCATTCAAAAGCTCTATGACCAGCTCTTCCCATCGCCTTCTAACTTCAACCCCCACACTCCGGCTCACTAGACCTCGGGCACAGCGGGGTCACCTCCCCACCTCAACCTCCACACTCCTGCTCACTAGACCCTGGGCACAGCGGGGTCACCTCCCCACCTCAACCTCCACACTCCTGCTCACTAGACCTCGGGCACAGCGGGGTCACCTCCCCAGCTCAACCTCCACACTCCTGCTCACTAGCCCCCAGGCACAGCAGGCTCCTCTTATGGGGCCTTCTTGCCTGGAATGCCCAAATCCTGATTCAGCCTTGTTTGACTCTCAAGTAGGAAAAACACTCCCTGGCTCCCTGAGCCCTTTGGCACGTATCACAGAGCACTCTGGGAGTCAGCCACCACTGTCTCCGTCTTGGATTAGAGTGGATCTGCGAGGGCCGGGTGGTGTCTGATTCACCTCCCTCTCCAGTGAAGAAGCTCAACAAGGGCTGGCTGGGTAATCTAAAAAATGCAAAGAGCCAAGAGAACCCTGGGAAAGTGCACATTTCCCAGGTACAGCATCAGGACACCCTGCTGTGGAAGAACCAAAAATTGCACCCTCACGGCTTATCAGGATGGTCCTTGTGTCTGTCTCTTTCAAGCGTTCTGATAATGAAATCTGGGCAAGTCGCCCTCCTGCTTTAAAACTTCCAGATGTTCCCAGAGGTCTAGCATAAAATCCGCCCACATAACCTAGGCACTGCCTGGCCCCAGGCCCTCCTCTTGCCACACCCCTTCCCTGGCCAGCCTCCCTCACTTCTTTCGGTTCCTCAAGGACTCCCCACGCTAAAGCCTGGCCCTGGCTGCCTCTCTGCCTGGGGGGCTCCTTCGTTCCCTGCTCAGTCAGCCACCTCCCTCCCTCCTTCAGGTCTCACTTTTTAGGGGAGGTTTCCCTGATCTGTCCAGATAAGACTTCACCACTCCCACACAATCCCACACGCTCCTATAACCCCATCATTTCCTTCACAGCAAGAATTAATCTTCGGTGTAAAGTGATCTATAGGAAGACCCATGAGGAATGGGAAAGTCTTGTTTTTGCTCATTCTCCAACACACAGGTCAGAGCCTAAATATCTCTCAAATAAATGAATATATGAATGAATAAATGAACTTATATACATAAATCAAGACTAGAAGGTGGGCAGAATCGTAGGGAACACAGATAGAAAAAACAGGGCCCGGGGATGGGCACAGTGGCTCACATCTGTAATCCCAGCACTTTGGAAGGCCAGGGTTGGCGGATCACTTGAGGTCAGGAGTTCAAGACCAGCCTGGCCGACAAGGTAAAACCCCATCTCTACTAAAAACACAAAAGTTAGCTGGGTGTGGTGGCACATGCCTGTAGTCCCAGCTACTCGAGAAGCTGAGGCAGGAGAATCGCTTATACCTGGGAGGAGGAGGTTGTAGTGAGGCGAGATCGTGCCACTCACTGCACTACGCCTGGGAATCACAGCAAGAATCCGTCTAAGAAAAAAAAGAAAGAAAAAGAAAAACAGGACCCTAACTAAGAAAGTCAGAGAGGAAGAAATAAACCAGACTGTTCAGCTTCCCAGAAGCAAAAGGAGGGAGTTTCTAGAAATGCACTAGAGACTAGTACATGGAGTCCTGAGGAAAGAGCCCTGGATTGGACATGGAGGAGGTCACTGGGGCCTCCCTGACTGAACCAAAGTTCCATGGCAGTGGGTACAGGGCTGATACACTGCAGGGGGCAGAGGAGCAAACAGGGGTGAACAAGCAAAGCTCTCAAACGACAGGTGCTCAGCTGTCCCTGCAGGGTCTGCAGAAGACAGGGCCCCTGTGTCATAGTTACCAAAAGCAGCAACACAGAATAACATTCTTTTTGTTGATAGATCACTTTGAGGCATTGGCTTTGGGAGCCGTCAGGGCTCAGTCTCAAAGGCAGGCGCATCAGAGCCAAGACCCGGCCCTCAATTCCTCCGATTAGGGCAGCATTGGGAACACCCCTTTGTCTGCAGAATCTTTGGGTAGTGGCTCATGAAGCAAGTACCTTTTGGGGCCCAGCAGGACTTTTAGGAATCCCTGGCTTTTGGGGCACAACATCTTGGGGACTATCAAAAATATCAAAAAGGACTTTCACCTGAGCTTTGGGAAAGAGGAACAGCTCAGGCTGTGGTCGGCTCGTGTCACCACCTGGAAGCCAGCTGGGCCACAGCAGATGTGAAAGTCCTGTATGCATTCATCCCCTTCTCCTTTTGGCAGAAAAGGGATGGCATGGGCTGGAGGGGTGTTTCCTAGGTCCTTGCACAATTGCTAATTAGAAATTCACTTCTGTTTGGGTACTGGAAGCTGGGTGATTCCCCCTAGTAGTGATCCTTCCTGTTTCACTGCTCACAAAGCCCTCTGGCATCTACAAACTCTTTGGGTCCATAGGGCAGCTTTGTTAGGTGAGTAGGGGGAGACCAAGGCACCTGTCTCACAGGTGGAGAAACCAAGGCTGAAGCTGGGAGGTGAGCCAGTCTCCTGGCTTCCAGCCCAGGACTCTGCACTCCACCCCCACCTCCCTGCCTACTTCAGCAGGTCACCTGTGAATCTGATAGTCAGGTGGGCCCCACCCTGCCAGCTGGCCCCAGCAGGCATGACTCATCTGCCTTCCCCATGACTCACACATCTCAGGCGCTCCTCCTCTGGTCAACAAGTCCGGAGACCTGGCAAGTGGACTCCCCTTTTTCTCACCTCTCCAAAGCCTCTGGGGAGAATCCCTGCACCTCCTCTTCATGGGGACTCTACCCTTCTACAGAAGAGCCACCAAGGCCTTGAGAGGGAAAGCAACTCTTCTAAAGTCACACAGCAAGCAAGCAGCACAGCCAGGGTGGGAGCCAGGCATCCAGCACCGCACCCAGTCCCTACCTCCTCCCCACAAGATCACCCTCACCCGGCCTCCCACTCAAGGACAGGCGAGGAGCAAAGACGCACTCTGAGCCTTATTAGGAAGACCTCAGGGACTCCCACTGAATCCACTGCGGCTACAGCAGCTGCTTTCACCACTAACGGCCCCTCCAGGCTTCTCTGGGCAGCCAGGGCTGGGTTTAAGAGAAGGATAGGTGTCTGCATTGCTCTACCTACCTAATGCGGCTGTGCAGGGTGAAGAGGGCTGCTCTGTGGGATGGCCCTGGGACCTATGAACACCACCTGTAAACAAAGGACGCAAGAATGTCAGCCTCAGGGGGAGTTCAAGGTCATCTGGTCAAATCCCCACTTGATGTTCCAACTCCTTTCCTCCCCTCCACCAGGGGTCACACAATCACCACTTGCACACACCCAGCAGCGGGGCACTCACTGCCTGCCGAGGCTGCAGGACTTGCTGTTGGGGAGTCTGGCTGAGTAAAAGTATTGTCCAAAGGATGCACTCAAATCTCTCTCTTCTTATGCCTTGCACCTGCTGGTACTAGCTCTGCCTCTTCCTGGGTCAGCCAGAACAAGTCTGTCCCCCTCTTTCCTGATGGCTTTTTGGAAATTTGAAGGCAGTGATCCTGGGCCCCTCAAGTCGTCTACAAATTGTGCACCCCCTTTCCTCCAGCTCTTCTGAGACCAGTTTCCAGTTTGCTCACCCTGTTCCCTGATCTGCTCCAGATGAACCCTGTCCCTACGGACAGCACAAGACCCAGAATTAGACAATCAGACAAGCTCTACTCAGAGCAGGACTATCACCTCCTTCATTAGAGATACCATGCTTCTATTAATCAAGCCTAAAATCCCATTCAAATTTAAGGCAGCCCTACTGCATGGCTGAATTCAGTGTACAGTCAACCTCAGAGCTTTAGGACTCTGGAGTTTTATAAACTGGCCCTTCACTTAACTGTGTAACTTGAGCAAGCTAAGCTACATCACTTCCCTGAACCTCAGTTGCCTTTTCTTTTCAAGAGGGATAGAATTAGAACCCTACAATGAGATAAAACATGTTCGTGGTTTTGCACAAGGCATATGTTTACTCTGATTATTACTCTGATTATCAATAATCAAATTTCTAAGTCTTTTGCCTACTTAGAAATTGTATCTTTCTCATCCTGCACATGAGCGACGTGGGGACCCATGACTGTTGATATGTCACTTTCACAGCTCTACACCTCAGCATTGCTCTATTATTGTTCTACTGCACTATTGCTGAGCAAGACTGCATTATCAGTGTTTGGTGATAGGACTTTCTCTCCCTCTAGGCTGTAAGCTCCTTGGAGGCAAGGATTCTGCCTGCGTTACCTCTGAAGCTTCGGCATGTCACATGCCCTGCAAATGGCAGGACTCGTGGACATATGCTAGATGCATCGGTGAAGGACTATCCCACATCAGCCTGCCAGGGAGTATACAGCTCAGTCCTCCCGCCTTTCAGAGACAACTTGGATCCTTACCCTTCCTCATCACCAAGAATTCCAATCATCTCCATTCAGAGGGCAGCTGAGCAAACTGGCTCCTGCCAACACTGGAAAATGTCTCTGCTGAAACCAGCTTCCTCCAACCAAGGGGAGAGTCCAAGATCCCAAAGGGAGCAGGGCCATGCAGGCTCCTGGGATTAAGACACAAACAAGCCCTGTTCTCAGGCTGACAATAAATGGTCCAGACAGTCCTGATGACTTGTGCATTGTGACTGACACGGGACACAGCCACAGAACTGGAGTCACAGTGCCCAAAACCAGAGAGGTCAGAGGCCAGACACGTATCTGCAGGACCCAGGGCTGAAGGGCACTTCTATTGGCCTTTCTCAAAGACTATGGCAAAAACTTCCTGGTTCCAAGGGATAGGTCAAAGCTGAGTCGGGTTTTGTTGTTCCTGCCAATGACTAATGACCTCCTGCACTCTGTCAACTCTGTGTGAGAATGAGCCTTTCGAATCCAGCCCCCGTTCTTTCTACACAGCCCAAATCACTCACTTTCTACACAGCCCACTCTCATCCACAAATGCACATGGTGGTGCTGCATTTGCTCCCAAATGCAGCCTGCTCCTCCCAAGTGCACCTCATCTCAGCAAACAGCACTACCATCCACCATCCACCCAGGGGACCATCCAGACACCAGGCCCCCACCCACCTCAACACACCACCCCACCCCTTTCGATCTTTCACTCTCTCCTCCAGTGTATCACCATGTTTTGCTAGATCAACCCCTGACTGCCTCCAGAATGTTCCCCCTTCTTTCCACCCCAATGCCAACATCTTGGTCCATAGCCCCATCACCTCTTGCCTGCATGATGGCAGAACCTACCTAACGGGTCCTCCTGCATCCTCTCCCTCCTACAATGCATCCTCCTCAGGGCGAGCCCAGACCATGCCACTCCTCTGCCCAGACTCTACCATGGCTCCACTCTGGCCCCAGATAAACTCCAAGATCCTTAACAAACCTCTGCACATTCTTCATGACCTGTCCCCTTCAACTCCTTGAGCCTCGGCCCTCATGGTTTCCTGGCTCCAGCCGCATGAGACGGCACTCTGTTCCTGAGTCCTCCCTGTAGTGTTTGCACAGACCTCCACACCCGCTAGTCTGCCCAGTCACATTCTACTCTAACAGTCCCTTTGCAAGTCAGCCTCCCCAGTTAGACGAAGGTTTGCTCCCGTGTATCCCAGAGCCTGGCCTAAGGCTGGGGCCACCGCAGCTCAAAATCTACCAAAGTAGGAAACTATGACTCCCATGTGTGCACACGTGTGTAACACATAGGCACATGTGCACACACACATTCGCAGAGCCGGCTAAGAGTGCAGATGCTGCCATCTATGGGTAAGAAAAGCATTACACGCTCCCTGGACTCAGACACCCCAGGAGCCTCAGAGTTTTCAAACTCGGCCGTGTTTAGAATCAGCCCCAGCTAACTCCAAGTTGGTCTGTTTTCCATTTTGAACCTTAAGGCTGTAGCAGCTTAAAAACAAGGTCAGCAAACCACTGACTCTAGTCCATCGCCCCCACAGTCCAGATGGAGCCATAAAGAGAAAGGTTTCATTCCAGCACTCACAATCCCAGCCCGGGGCTCTCACTCCGTGCCTGTCTGCTGAATCATATCTTAGAGCACAGGAACAGAAGACGCCTTCTAATAGTCTCAGCTGTGGAAAGGCCAGCCTCTGGGGAGAGAGCTCGTCCGGCGAAAATGTGCAAGGCACCACAGAACCCCATCTGTCTAGGTGGCTAAAAAGGAGCTTTCTGCTCTGGGGGTGGGATTGGGGGAGGCTGGAGCAGAGTATTTTTCTCTCCTAAAGGACTGCTCCCAGTTTGTTGGGAGGGCCTTCAGACTTGATGGGAGTAATGTGATATCTGTCCCTTAATGCCATAAGGGTTCAAATGGCCACCCCTAAAACAATAGTTATCATTTTCTCTGCACCTTCCAAGCGTTAAATTCTACAGGCATCATGTCTCAGCCTCACAATAACTCTACCTGGCAGATATCTTTGTCCTCATTTTGCGAAACAGGGACACAAGCTCAGAGAGGTGAAGCAATGTGCTCAGGGTCACACAGCTAAGATGTCTGGGCAGTTTCCACCAATGCAGGCTGCCTGCCCTATGTCTTGACCTCGATGTATTTCAAAGCTATAAGGCTAGAACTCTTGCTCACCAGAAAAAGAAAAACACAACAACAACAAACCACAAAACTTCGGGTACTCTAGACCAAGGTCAGCAAACTTCTTCCGTAAAAGACCAGACCATAAATATTTTAGGTGTTATACGCCACACACCCTCTCTGTTGCATATGCTTCCTTGCTTGTTTGGTGATGGTGTTTTTTAACAATCGTTAAGACTATAAAACCATCCCTAGCTCAGAGGCATACAAAAACAGACCAGGGCCTCCCCAGGGCTGTAGTTTGAATCCATAGAAACAGAGAGAATAATGTTTATCATCTCAAGTATAAAAACTTCTGGTGAAAAAGTTTATCAAATGCAAGCTGTATTTCTCCCTCTTCCAGTGGCTTTCTACTGAGTCATTCTCTCCTAAAGAAGGATCCTACTTTGCTTCACAATTAAGCAGCAAATTATTTCAAGGACTGTTCAGAGTCTAGAAACTCATAGCTGTGGACAAAATAGACAGATAAGTCAGATATCAAAGATAAGACATTAAAAGGTCTGGGCTCTTGGCTGGGCACAGTGGCTCACACCTATAATCCCAGCACTTTGGGAGGCCAAAGCAGGTGGATCACGAGGTCAAGAGATCAAGACCATCCTGGTCCATATGGTGAAACCCCGTCTCTACTAAAAATACAAAAATTAGCTGGGCATGGTGGCGCGTGCCTGTAGTCCCAGCTACTTGGGAGGCTGAGGCAGGAGAATTGTTTGAACCCAGGAGGCAGAGGTTGCGGTGAGCTGAGACTGCGCCATTGCACTCCAGCCTGGGTAACAAGAGTGAAACTCCATCTCAAAAAAAAAAAAATCTGGGCTCTCTAGGCTGGACCCTGTTACTGTCACTGGCTCTTTAGCCCTGAACAAGGGACTTGCCTCTTAAGTCCCTTATCTCATAAGTATTAATTCTACATTAGTAACAGATTGATTTCAAATCTTACAACTGAAAGTATGATCCCTAGACTGGCTATATCACCATTACTAGTAGTGCAGAGCCTCAGGCCCTACCCCAAGTCATCTTAGAACGCTCTAGAAATCTTTTTTGTCTGAAGATTTTGTGAGCTGAAACACAGATCACAAAATCTTTGTTAGCAATGAGGAGAGAAAGGGTCTAAAGGCATCTTTCACGATGTCATGGTGTTAAGTCTCTGACCTAACACATGTACCAGTGACCCCATAAAGCATTCTACTCTAGGACCAATTGACAGACCAAGCTCTACCATTGGATCTTAAAATAAAACCTTAACGAGGTGGAAAGTAGACCTAGGGGAACAGGAGAAGGTGCTATTTTCCATACTATGGAGTAGGGGGAGGGAAAATAAGTTAGAGGGAAATAACTTACCCAAGAACACACAGCCAAGAGAAACTAGGGGTATGACCACCACCAGGTTTCTTCATCTTCCTTAGTCAGGCCTTAGGTTTAACAATAACTGAAATCATTTTGGTTTGGTAGAGTAGCAATCAGAGGGCTTGCCGTTTGCTTTGGGAAATTCACTTGCTCTCTCCGGGCACAATTATCTGTAGCCATGAAGTGAGGGGGTAGAGCCAGTGCTTCCTAAAGCCTTGCTATCAAAGTCATGGCCTGGAAAGTTTTGA